AGTAAGAGTTTAAGTATGGGATGGTGATAAATAATGGAAAGTTCATCTTTTGAGTATGTTTGCATATTGCTTCTTATGTGAGTTGTAGGAGATCACATAGTTTTTGAAGTGAAAAGATGCTCATTATGTGTCTCTTATGTGTAGGAATGAATTTGTATGGAAAAGGATCATATACGAGAAAAATTGGTTAAAAAGAGTTGAAGAGAAAAGTCCCGGACAACGGAGCGAGGTTCACTTCGCCAGGACTAGAACAGAATAAATCAGCAACTGGGAGCAGTCTGGATCGCGCATCTGGACGTACCCCCAGCTTCTCCAATCCAAAGTATGAGAAGTCAAATCTGCCCCAACTCAACCTTACTTCATATAGATGTGATAGTTATCCACTTTTTGAAGGGGGAAATACTACTTTGGAGTAAGAAAAGACTTTGGAGAGGAAAGAACACGTTTGGAGTAAGGAGAAGGATACAACATCACGTTTATTCCTCTTTCTTTCTCTTTTTCTATTGTTATGATATCTGGTATTGTATTTTTACGAGTAACTAATTTCTTATCTAGGGTTGTGACTGAACCTCTTAGGGGATGAATTTTTTATACATTAATATAATTAAGCCTTTTTACTTCTTTACTTGTTGACCTATATATTTATTGTTATTGATTGAAGGGCCCTCAATTGATTGTGTCTATTAATTATATGTTACTCGAGAGAGGATAAGGTGATTGTAGAACAACGCCACTCCCAAGACATACGAGTGATCGACACATCGGGTTTAAAAGTAGGATTAGAGACGACGAAGCTTTGATGTGGTCTTAGTGAGCTGTGAAAAAGTGTGAGCTAGCGTAATATAAAAGAATATGACTAGTAAATTATTATAGTTACTCGAGAGAGAGAGAGAGAGAGAGAGAGAGAGAGAGAGAGACAGAGAGAGAGAGAGAGAGAGAGAGAGAGAGAGAGAGAGAGAGAATTATAATAAGTCGAGTGCTCACGATCAATAGAGAATACTTAAGTGATATTATAAAAAATGTAGCGAAAATAATTCTGACAATTGAAAAAATTATAACTCTAGACTTTTCCAATCTTGGGTCCAACCCTTAGTATCTTTAGTTGATAATTTATATTGCTTTAATATTTGTTAGTTAATTAAATAGACAATAGTTAATTAAATAGACAAAGAAATTACAATCTTTATAGCTAGAAAATTATTTGAACTTGTGTTTCTTAGTGATATTGAACAACTGTAGCGAAACCTTAGATCTCTGTGAGATTCGATTCCGGTCTCTTAGACCAAATTATATTTACAGCGACCACTTATATTTTTTTAGGACTAGAGTTGGGCGTGATCAGTGACGTTCCAGAAATATGTGTATAATTATTTGCATTACTAGCACTAGAAGAACTACCTCTTGTTTTTCTATTCTTACCACTACCATCCCCGCTACACGCTTTTTTGCTTCTTTAAGTATGTCTATTGTTCAAATTAAATTAAATTAACAAAACATATAATTTTAAATAATAAAATAAAAATAAATACCAAAAAAAGATAGAGCTGGAACGAGTGTACCAGGATGCTACACTAAGTTTGAATTTGAAACCCGCAAATCGCAATAGCACACTTTAAGTCTTCTCTTGATAAATTGTAATTGTATAGTGGCTACCGTAATAAACATTGAAATAAACTTAAAATACCAATTAATTGATAGTAGTTCAAGAGAGAATGTAGCAAATATAGAGGAAGAGAGATTGTTGTGAGAAAAAAATAGAGAAGATGGAGCTATTTATAGTTTTTAAAATATTAAAATTATAATTTATTAATTATTAGGGGTGAGAGCGAATATTTTTCATGGGGAGGCCGAAATGGCCATTTCAGCAAAAAAGAGTTGTTGGCTAACGGTCTCCCCAGATTTTAACCGTTGGCAACGGTCATATTTTTTTTTTTAAAGAAGATACCATTAACTGAGCTAGACCGGGTTAAAATCCGGTAAGGAATCAGTAATTCCTTACTAGGCCAACCGAGCTCCTGTAATGAAAAAAGGTCTGCACCCATCTACACCAACCTCCCTAAACAACCCATCCTGTCTCATTTCTTATAAGACCGGACTGACCTGGACTATACCGGGTCGAACTGGATAGGAAACGGGCTCGTCTGACCCGATTAAAACCTTTAGGTGAAATCGAGCATTGTATATTGAAATTCGAACCCAGAACGGATAATATACTAAAAATCCAAAACCCAGTTCGCAACTTTTTGTAATGCCTTAGAAATGATAATATATCTTAAAATATAAAGATATATAACACCTAAACTTGACCGCACTGTACGAACATCAAAATTTGTTATCTTATCAAGCATAGATCATCATATTCGGGTTTTCTGGTTCCGTCAAAAGTGAAGTGCTGTTTTGCTTGTGTACGAAGAATGAAACCAAAAGCATTAAACTCAGCACTTCATCTAATCTTGTATTTGTTAGTGCTTTCAAACAACTTTTCTCTAGTTTATTTATTATTTTGGGAAAGTTTGAACCCCATGAATTGTTAATAGAGCTTGAACTTTTTGAACTCTATGAATTGTTGCTGGGGGTTGAACTCCATCATATTATTTTGGGTTCCATTTGTAAAATCTTCGAACTCTACCATCAATTGCTGATTTGCTAGGATTATTTCATGTTTTAGTTAGGGGTAAATACGTCAATTTAGTTGGATCAATGGCTATGCTAATACATTTAAAAGCTGGTTAAACATTAATAGCCGATCCAAAAAGTGGCTGACCCAACTAATTTTTATATTTCTAGTGTTAAAACAATCGATCAATTAATTTTGCCTTAATGCCAAACTAGTTAGTAGGGGTTTACATGGATCGGGTTGGTTCGGTTTTTATCAAAAGCAAATCAAACCAACTATATTGATTTGTATTGGTTCGATTTTTCGGGTTTTTCAGATTTTTTTGTTACATGAATATTTTTCAATCTTACTTTATTAAAGTTATAGATAAAATTTTGATAAGTGAATATATATTTAGTAAAAAAAAAAAATACAAACATATGATCCCTTAAAATATTCTTAAAAGAGAATTATTTAGTAACACATGACAGTTATTTTCTTAGTTGTCTAACAATAATTTTTCATTAATGTGCGCTCTCAAAGTTAACCGAATTTAATATTTAAACGTAAAAATGAGGATGATACCGAAATAATAATATATTCTATTTAATTTTAAATTATCAAAATACCATTTCAATTTCGAAAAAGATATAAAAAACTTGACATATGAATACGGAAGAATAAAGAGATGCTTAACATATTTCAGTAACACTTTTGCTAAGAATGTGATACAACCCATTATTTATAGTAAATAAAAATAAATGCATTTCATAGTTCTATTAAATATTACATCCAGCGAGTGGGTCTCAAATAATTCTACATCTTTTTAAAGAAAATTTCATATAAAGTCTTAAAAGCATATATTTTTATATATTGATTTGGTTCAAATATTTTTACTCAATATCAAACCAAACATAATTGGGTTTTTTAGTCGATTTGATTTGACTTTTCGATTTGGTACGATTTTTCGGTACGGTTTGAATACCCCTGTAGTTAGGATCAACACACAAATCGTCTGTATCTATTCTATTCTATTGAAGTCTATTTCGTTACTAACCTAAATAATTTGTCGTTTAAATAAATAATAAAAAAATGCACTTAAATAGCCATCCATCTAACCAGTTCAACAGAAAAAAAACTGATGAGTGTATTATATGTATAATTCATGTAAACACATATATAATCGTGTATAGTTAATATATAATTTATGTATACCGGCTACAAAAAAATAAATAATAAATTCGACTAGAATTTAAAACAAAGCTCCTTACAAACACTCAACTTATTATGAATGCAATAACTACTGCATAGTTTTGATCCTAACTAGCTAGATGCTATCACTTATATGGATCATGTATTTTTATTGTATTTTGGTCTTAGCTAAAACAGAGCATCTCTATATTGGAGCATCAATCCTCATAAGCAATTAGGTGAAGAATGCATTTCAATTTGTCGTATTAGAAATTTTTGGCAGCTAAGTAAGATATGGGTATGTTGGCTAAAATAATTGCTACTTAGAAAAGTTTAGCTATCTTCCAAAACTTCTTTAATAAACCAAATTGCTCAGTCAAATACAGCAAAACATAACATAAACGGGAATTTTTAAGTACTCTTTTATCAGAACGAGCCTAACTAAATTGTTTATTGAGTTTCTAAACATTGTATATGCTAGCATTTTAAGGTTCTTGTATTTTTTCTTCCACTATCTTGAAAACTTTGACCTACTTCGTTTTTTTTTTTTTTTTAACTGACTAGTTTCTGAAATCACATTGGACATAGGCATCATCAAGTCTTAATAGGTGTGAATTCGTTCACATTACCCCATTTCCTGAACCTCAATGTATCGGAAATTGTTTTTTTAAAAAAGAAGCATCAGTACGAGTGCGAATACTGATTTTAATAATTTCAAGAAAAAACTTGGTGCTCTATTAATTTCCCATTTGGTCCTCCTTGTGTCCGTTCTGTTTCTCCGATCCATCCTTGTAATAATGCTATTGGGGTCGTTTTGTTTGTTACTCCCTTTTTTTGTTGTTTAAAATAAGTGATTTTTTTAGATTTTAAGAATGAATTAATTATTTTTTTTTATATTGTCTTAGAATAAATAGTGTTGGACTATATGATAGGAGTGTTTATGTGAAGAGATAGTAAATATTAATATGATCAATTTCATTGATAATTAATGTTAAAAGATGATTTTTTTAATACATATATAAAAACAACCAAAAAATCACTTACCGTGGAGAGTAATAAATATCTCTCTTTTATTCATTTCTCATTTTCCGAAGTCTATTGAGCGTGCAAATTGACGTCCACGGCTCCACCCCCACCACAAGAAAATAGAAACTAAAAGAATCTCTCATTATATATACATTACCCAAGGAGAAAATAAACATAGTGAAGATAACATAATAATAAAAGAAAAGAAAGGAAAAAACACTCTTCCTTCTTTCCTCCTTTTGCTCTCTTCACCAAGATTCAATGGCTACTTCCCCAACCACTAGAACTCCAAGATATGGTCAAAGTGACAACACGTTTTCAACCCCAATTTTCACTATTTCTTCTTCACCTTCTTACTCTTCCAATTCTTCCTTTGGATCACTTTCTACACATGATCATCATTCCCCTTTTAGCCCCAACACTCCTTTTCAATTCTCTAATAAGGGAGTGCCATTTTCTTGGGAGTACATTCCTGGAATTCCGAAGCAACATATTTCAAGGAAAAATAGCTCTTCTTCAAGCCAACTTCTCCCATTGCCACCACCAGCTGGTAATCCTCCAAATTCAGCCAAGAAATTACAAAGGTTGCGCGACGAATTTTCTCCGAGAAAGAGTGCTAGTGACAGCTTCAGTAAAGATCCATTTTTTGCAGCATTTGTGGAGTGTTCCAAGGATCAAGAACATCATGAGAACTTTAGTGACATTTGGAAGAGTAGTACTACTTCTTCTTCAAAAGTAATGGCATCAACAAGAAGTTTAAGTGATAGATTTGGATTGATAAGCATGTATGCATCTTGTAAAAGAACTTGTACTGTCTCAGAATCCATTGTTTATCTTCCAAGATCAAGAAATTATGATCTCCTTAGTACTCGTCGAACAAGCCGGTAAAAAAGGGTGAATTTGTCAACTTTAGTGTCATTGGCCAAAGGGTCATGACTCAAGTTCTACATCCATAGCTAGATGGCTTTACTATTTCATGTACGAAATATTATTGTGACTTATTTGGAATTAATTAATATTTTTGTATATTTTTCTATGCTTTTATGTATTAGGAGTCCTATGAAATATGTGAGGACAAATAGTATGTCCGAAAATTATGCAGTGTAGTAGCTTTTTTTTGTGATTTTAATATAGTAGGAGTATTATTTTACTTTGCAAGGAGAAAGCTTCAATGTGTTGTCACTAAGGCATGAGCAATTGCACAATTTCGTCTCGTGTTGTCACGATGTTATATGCAAATTCTATCCTTTCTGTATTTCATGTGATGACTTCATGGCATTTTGAGTAAAGGTTACACAAACCCCATGTGAGATTTTTTAAAATATTGAGAAAATAATCTTGAAAAAAATGATTATCGTGGACCACAAAACCACTGATAAGTGGACTCACACACAAACACTCATTAATTGCCACACAATTTCGCAGAATTTGGTTTAGTAGGAAATTTTTACATTCCAAGGAAAAGAAAGATTGGAAATACACTATTTTATGGTCAAATTGAATATATAAATAGTTAAAGATGATACTTGAGAAACTTTACCTAATATTTTCTGCCCTTGTTGCATCTAAGGGTGTCAAACGGGCTGAGTTGGCCCGGTGGTAAGGGGGCCGGGCAAGGCTCGGTTGTGACGAGAACCGGCCTGTGCCGGAAAAAATTTGAATACCGGGTACCAGACCGGTCCAATCCGGTAAGGTCTTGCCACTCGTGAACCGGTTAACCGGACCGGTCTGAACCGGTTCAATGGCTAGTTCAATTTTTTTTAATAATCCTGACCGTTGGCAACGGTCAGCTGCCAAATTGACCGTTGCCCAACGGCTAATTTGTAAGAATAGTCCTTTTTGGTCATTTTTATCAAAAATAACACTTTTATTATATACTAATTTAACTCTTTGAAAAACTATAAATAGACCCTCCGCTCTTCATTATTTCTTCACTCATCTCTCAATTCTCAAACCCAAATTCTCAATTGTCATTCTCTCATTCTTCACCTAAATTGCTATCAACTATTTGGCTCTCATTTTTTTTGAAAATTTATTTATTGTATTATTTGAAGTTTGAACTTTGAACAATTGAAGTTTATTCGTGGTAACGTCGGAGTTGCGAAATTCAATTTCAAGACTTCAAAAATCATCAATTGTTCAATTTATTGCGGAATTCAGTGCACTCGTTCCAACTCTTTCTCTTATTTAATATTTTTTTGCATATTTAATTTTTATTAATAGTTAAATTTTCACAATATATTTAATGCTGCAAAACGAGTTTGTAATAAGGTTGACAATCGGGGTAATCAGAGAAATAGAAAAAGATGTGCTACTTTAACTTTTGGTAGTAATTTAAATGACTTTACACATATTTTTGAATCATCACCTGATAATAATATAGATTATGAATAATTACAGAAAGATTACAGTATAAAAGAATGAATTAGAAATTGAAGATGAGACACCACCTACACCTAGTAGTGTTGGAGTTGGTAGAAGGGGTGGTGGCCGTGGCACTAGTAGTAGACCACTTGTGGCCCCGATTACTAGTCATCGGAGTAGGAGAAGTAAAGTTTAAAAATATTTTGAGGAAATAGAGAATACTGATAGAGTTAGACGCAAAATTTGTAAAGATGATTTTGAACATAAGACTGGAGGAAGTTTTGGGGGGACTGTGACACTTAGTAGACATCTGAGAATTACTCATCCTATAGATGAAAATCAAGGAACTCTAAACCCTAGTACTGGAGGACTTATGAAATATGATAAAATAAAGGATCGTGAAGAGTTAGCAAAAATGATTGCTTTGGGTTATCTACTTTTTTCTTTTGCTTCTTCATCATATCTTATTATGTATATTCAAAGGATTTATAATCCTTTATTTAAAGATATTCCTAGAAGTACTTGTAGATCAGATATCTGTAGACTTCATGAATAATATCAGACATGCATACATTATTTGTTTGACCGCCTTCCTTATAGAGTTTCTCTAACATTTGATATTGGCCATGTTGTTAATGAAAATGATTATTTGACAATTATATGCCATTGGATAGATGATAATTATTGTATGAAAAACATTTTATCGCCTTTAAATATGATGAAGATCAAAGTCATACTGCTATTTTTATAAGTACTACTATTTGCAAAGTTATTGTATTTTATAATCTTAATAAAAAATTATTGTGTATGTCTATTGATAATGCTTCTAACAATAATGCTCTTATTTTAATATTAAAACTGCATTTGCAACTACCACTTGACAAAAAATTTCATGTTAGGTGTGCATGTCATGTTTATAATTTAATTGTTAAAAGTAGCCTTGATTTATTTTCAATAGAGATTACTCATGTTAGAAGAGAAGTTGGTGTTATACAAGGAAATAATTATCACGACCCAAAACTCACATGTTATGATGGCGCCTATCGCAATACTAGGCAAACCAAAATTCACAATAAAACCACGCATTTTAAATTTGGAAAACATAGTAATATAAGTTTGAAGGAAAATCCCATAGATACTGAATGGAAACACCGCAATTCAATACAGAATTTTCCAAAATTTGGGTATCACTAAGTACATGAGCATCCTTATAATAACACTGTCTGACAACTAAAACATTGTCTAGGAAGGTAGAACAGTATAAACAAAACTAAAGATAAACGAGGAGAATCAAGGTCTGCGGACGCCAAGGCACCTACCTCGATAATCTCCGAACTGATGAAGCTCCAAAAATCAGCAACCATCATGTCCGGAAGTACCTGGATCTGCACATGAGGTACAAAGTATAGCATGAGTATAACCAACTCAATAAGTAACAAGTCTAACCTTTGGACTGAAAGTAGTGACGAGCTCAACTAATACAGTCCAAATACATGATTTAACAGTATACAAATGACGGGAAATAAAACAATAATATCTCAGAGCAACTCATAATCTGTTCGTACACTGTACAGGAAATATAGACATGCTTTCAAGTTAAAAATTAAGCTCAATATGAATAAAATATGCCAAGTCTGAATGATATTAGGAATATGACATTCTCTATATCTATATGCCAATATGCATATCGTATGTGATGCAACAAAATGAAAGCCTCACGTACTCACACTCTCAGAGTACGCAACCCAACTGTCTCAATTCTAACTCATCACACTCAGTCACTCAACACTATACGGTACCCGCTGCGGCATGCAGCCCGATCCTATCATGAATCAATAGAACCTGCACTCACTGTTGGTATGTCAGACTCCGGAGGGGCGGATCCTGCCCAAGCACTAATAAAACCTGCTACGATGCGCATGCCGATCCTATCATGAATAAATAATATCTGTTGCGGCGTGCAACCCGATCCCATCATGAGTCAATAGTACCTGCTGCGGCGTGCAGCCCGATCCCATCAATATCACTCACAAACAGGCCCTCGACATCACTCAATCATCAAACTCTCCAGTCTCTCGGGCTCACAACACTCTTGCGAAGCAGCCCAAATTAATGATACATGATGTGATAATATGATAACAGAGACTGAGATATGATATGCAATGATGAAAGCGGCAAAGTACATAACTGCAAATTAAACAAATAACTCAACATCAAAGAACAACCGTTATGGGTCCCAATAGTACCAGCACATAGCCTAAACATTATTTCTAACACAAATTATAGCTCAAGTGCACTAACACATAGTGTACAGTAATAATATTCAGATAAGGTGACTACACAATCCCACAAAATTGACTAAGTCATAATTAATACGGTGTACGCCTACATGCCCGTCACCTAGCATGTGCGTCCCCTCAACACCGGTCACATAACACAAAATTCAGGGATTCATAGCCTCAAAACCAAGTTTAGAAGTGTTACTTACCTCAAAACCTGTAAATCTCTACTCCAAAAAGACCTTGCCTTGCAAATCGGCCACCGAACACCTCAAATTTATCCACAAACAACTCGATACGATCAACACAAGGTATAAGAATCAATTCCATACGAAAAAGGAAAGTTCTTAATCAAAAGTCAAAAAGACAACTCATAAAAACAACCCCGGGCCCACGTCTCCAAATCCAGGAAAAGTTACAAAATCCGAACACTCATTCAACTATGAGTCCAACCATACCAAAATTACTCAAATCCGATCCCAATTCGACCTTCAAATCCTCAAATTAAAGCCTAGGAAGTTTCTACAAATTTTCCCCAATATTTCAACCAAAAACACTAATTAAATAATGAAAACAATAATATATTCATGTAATTTAACCAAATCCGAGTTAGAATCAATTACCCCAATCACTCCCTTAAAAATCTCTCCAAGAATCGCTTCAATCCGAGCTCCCAAAATAAAATTATGAAATCTGGCGCAAACCCTCGTTTTTGATATTTTATATTCTGCCCAGAAGTCTTCAATCGTGATCGCGAAGCGCAAAAACTAAACAACCAAGAATTAACTCTACATGAACGCACACAGACCCACATGAACGCGAAGACCAAACATCCCTGACCTACGCGATCACATACACTATTACGCGATCGTAACCCAGTCTCCTCTTTCCCTCTTCGCGAACACAACTAGACCCATGCGTCCGCGATTTACTGCCTCACCAACTTACGTGTTCGCAGACCCAATCTCGCAAATGCATAGAACAAAAAAATCCAGCTGTCCCAAAAACACTTCGTGATCGCGATCCTCCTCTCGCGATCGCCTACAAAGACACTAGCACCAGCAAAATTAGCAGTCTTCCAAGTTCCAAAATGTACCAAACATGATCCGAATCACACCCGAGGCCCATCGGGACCTCAACCAAATATACCAACAAGTCCTAAAACATAATATGAACTTAGTCGAGGCCTAAAATCACATCAAGCAACATCAAAAACACGATTTGCACCCCAATTCAAGCCAAATGAAGTTATGAACTTCTAGCTTCTACATTTGATACCGAAACCTACCAAATCAACTCCGATTAACCTCACATTTTGCATACAATTCATAAATGACACAACAAACCTATTCCAACTTTCAAAACCAAAATTTGAGTCGGTAACC